GGGCCCGAGGGGTGAAAAGAGGTTGGTCAGTGGATCCAGGCCTTGAGGACAGAGCTGCAGGGAAGGCTGGACTGGCTGGGATGTCTCTCTCCTCTGCCAGCTCCTCTTCTCCCCACCTCCACCTTCCTTCCCTCTTCCTGCCCTCCTCTTGCCTCCACCTCTGGTCTGCACCCTCTCTCTGTCCCATCTGCCCCGGCCTTTGCTGAGTTCCCCCTGCCTTGCACAGGTGGCCTCTAAGTAAATGGAGAGTGGGTGGAAGAGCTGTGGCGGTGAGAACAGGAGGCCCCGGGCTCCATCAGAGTCCATGGGGAAAAGTCCTTCCACCTGTAGTAAGCAAGCATTCTAGAACCAGGACCATCTCCTAACTTAAGTAATGGATGGGGTTAAATATTCACTCATCCTTTTAATGAGCATTTATTGTCAATTTTGTGCCAGGCACAGTGTGGGTTGTTTTATATACATGTGATTATTTAATCTCTCTTAAGTTCTATGCCATCAGTATCATTAGCCCTGTCTGCAAACGATGACCTGGGAGCTCAGGGGGGTAAAAGTCACACAAGAGCTCCATGTGGTGGAGCCAGGGCTGAACCCACATTAGTCTTGTCCCAAAGTCTCTGCATTCCCTGGCCTCTCACCCATACGATCCCGCCTGGTATGAAGTCATTTTGTCTGATTTGTGCAGTGGCCAGTCCAGAATTGAGCACCTGAACAAACCTGATTGAACCAACTGATCAGGTCAAGGGGCCTCTGAGGCCCCAGCATCCAAGGATAGGCCCAGCTAGTGAGGAACGTAGAGCTACTTCAGGCCTCTGAAGCTGCTGCTACAGGAGCAGAGGAGACCTGGAGCCACACACTTGGGGACCTGAGTCTGATTGCCTGGTTTCCTGACCCAAGAAGAGGTAAGAAGGTAGCCAGGATCATAGCCTGAATGAGGGCCAGTTGTGTGTCCTCCAATTAACTAAATCCAAATTAACTTACTTACAAATCTCATAATAAACCCAAGCCAGCAGAAAGGGAGTTCTAATCTAGAGCCATATTCTGTAGCCTTATCATTAAGTCAGAATTGCCAGAAGTTCCCCAAATCCTCAAATTATAGCATGAGCACCCAACAGTACATACAAGGAAGAGCTTCTTATGCAAGAGAGAGAGGTAGAGAGTTTCTTTCCTTGGAAATGGGAAAGAGGCAAGGGGTTGGGCAAGATGACTCTACCTGGCAGCAACAGCTAAAAGCTGGTCCCTGCCCCACCCCCACAGTTTCTGCTCTTGTCCTCCGTGACCCGTCCTTTCCTGGCAGGTGTTTCAGACCTTGTCAACAAGAGAGATGAGCAGCTGGCAGGGTGTGGAGCAGGGGCAGGCAGGTATGTTTACTGAGGAATTTCTGGGTGAAGAAGGCAAGCCTCGCATTCAGCCCTGAGATTACAGGAATCCCGAGGTCTTTCACTCTCAGCCCCAAACCTGATGTGTGGTGTGGCAAAGCACCCCCGCCCTCCCTGGCCAGGCCTGGGCCCTCACCGGTTTGGTCACAATCACCAGGCCTCGGCAGCCCCACTCTGCCTGAGTCACTCTGTGGAGAGCCAGAACCAACTTGGGGATCAGAGGCTGCAGAAAAGACCTAGTCAGCATTTTAGGAAGGAGCCAGTAAGGGCAATGAGAGAGTGGGTGCTCCCAAAAATCAGGGGATAGAGGTCGAGGGGATCTGTGCACAGTGTCCTCCCTTCCCAGCTAGAGAGCAGCCTCTCCTGGTCATCCACCCTGGGCATATGCAAGAAGGGTTACCCAACATGTTTTGCAGCAAAACCATTCTTGTCCTCAAAAACACATGCCCAGCCCCACTTGTAAAACAGATAAATGGACAGGTGCTCTGACTGGTGCACAGGAGGGGTCCATGAGCCTTCTCACCTGCTGGCCTCCACGACCCCCTGAAAGCACCCTCTGGAGTCCTTTATTATGTAGAGTTATAGTTCCTTCTATACCTAGTTTGTTGAGAGTTTTTATCATGAATAGATGTTGCATTTTGTCAAATGTTTTTTCTGCATCTATTGAGATGATGATGCTGATTTTTATCTTTCATTTTACTAATGTAATGTATCACATTTATTGATTTGTGTTTTTTTAATCTACTTTGCACCTCAGGGGTAAACCCCACTTGATCATGGCCTATGATCCTTTTAACACGCTGCCAGATTTGGTTTGCTAGTGTTTTGCTGAGAATGTTTATATCTATATTCATGAGGTATACTGGCCTGTAGTTTTTCTTTGTTGAGAGGTTTTTTATTCCTGATTCAGTCTCCTCCTTAGTAATAGGTCTGTTCAGGTTTTCTGTTCCTTCCTGATTCAGTCTCGGTAGGTTGCGTGTTTCTAGGAATTTGTCCATTTCTTCCGGGATGTCCGGTTTGTTGGCACGCAGTTGTTCACGGTAGCCTCTTATGGTCCTTTGTATTTCTGTGGTATCAGTGGTGATGTCTCTTGTTTCCCTTATAATATTGTAGATTTGGGTCCTCTCTCTTTTTTCCTTGGTTAGTCTAGCTAAAGACTGTCAATTTTGTTTATCTTTTCAAAGAACCAACTCTTAGTGTTGTTGATTTTTTCTATTGTTTTTCTATTCTCTATTTAATTTATTTCTGCTCTAATCTTTATTATTTTCTTCCTTCTGCTAAATTTGGGCTTGGTTTGTTCCCTGAGGTGTAAAGTTGGGTTATTTATTTGAGATCTTCCTATTTTCTTGATATATGCATTTATCACTAGAAACTTCCCTCTTAGAATTGCTTTTGCTGCATATGTGAGTTTTGGTGTGTGTGTTTCCATTTTCATTTGTCTCAAGAAACTCTTTTCTTTCCCTTTAATTTCTCCTCTGATGCATTATTTGTTCAAGAGAGTGCTGTTTAATTTCCATGCATTCATGAACTTTCCAGTCTCCCTCCTATTATTGATTTCTGACTTTATACTGTTGTGGTCAGCAAAGATATATGGTATGATTTTGACCTTCTTAAATTTGCTAAGACTTGTTTTGTGGCTGTGGACGAAAAGGGGCCACATACTAAACCTGAAAAGCCCAGGGCAGGCCTGCGTGGAAGCCTTGCAAACTAAGAGACCTAAAATAACCACAAAGGATGGTCTGAAATTAAGACTTTTTAAACATAAGCAGTTTAGGTGGGTAGTCATGCCCTAAGGCAGTATTTTTCCTTCACGAAGGTTAATTTTTGCCTTAACTAAGCCTGTCAGTTGTCTTATGCATCTGAGATACATACCTGATAACACATGCCTTTGCAAAGCAAAGTAATTTCCCCTTTTTCCAGGCCCTCAAAGTACCAGGGCAGAGACCACGAATCCTCTCACTGTTATCGATATCTTGCTCACTGTTGACTGTTAAATATCCCGTACTCACCTATGTAAAAGAAGCCTGTTTGGCCCGGCTGGGCGTGGCTCAGCGGTTGAGCATTGACCTGGGATCTAGGCGATCCGGGTTCGATTCCCAGTCAGGGCACATGCCCAGGTTGTGGGCAAGATCTATGACTCTCTCATCATTGACGTTTCTATCTCTCTCTCTCTCCCTCTCCTTTCCTCTCTCTGAAATCAATAAAGACATATTTTAAAAAAAAAAAAAAAGTCTATCTCTAATTTTACTTTTTATCCAATCCCAGAGAGCCTCCCCCACCCCCGCCACTTTGCTTTCTCCCACCTCCCTAATCTATCACCACTTACATCTCTCCCTTCGATTATAATGTATAAAACAAAGTGCAAAACTGACATTCTCTGGAGCATTATCTCAATCCGTTGAGGTTTTGGCTTCCTAGCAATTGTCAACAGTTTGGCTCAAATAAACTCACAAAAATTCTTCAAAGGTTTGAATGATTTTTTACATTAACAGTGGCCTAAGATATGATTTATCCTAGAAAGTGTCCCATGTACCCTTGAGAAGAATGTGTATTCTTCTCACAGGACAATGTGAATTTTTATTGATGACTGGATGAGAAGCTGAGAGAGAAATCATCGGACTCCAGGATGGTGAGCTGGGAAGCCAGAACCCAGGGAGAAGGAAAGCCAAGGGCAGCGATCCTTACTGAGGTCCTCATAAGCCAGACAGAGGCTTTACACACGTTCTCATCACACCCTGCTCTTACAAAGGAGGAAACTGGCACTCAGAGAAGTTAAGTAACTAGCCCAACGTCACACTGCCAGTAAGTGGCAGAGCTGGGATTTAAACCCAAGTCTGCCTAGTTCTGAAGCCCAAGATCTCTCCACTAAACAATCAAGTCGCCTGCCCCACAGAGTTGGCGGAGGGCTCAATAGCATCAGGGGGTAGGCTGGGTGATAGGCAGCTGCTCAGTGCCTGGACCTGCCTTGAGTTCTTACACATGCCCTCCAGCCTTCTATGCGTTCTGCAGGGGAGAAAGTAGGAGCCAAGGCCTAGAGTGGTGATAATATTGAGCTAATGTGCTTTCAGCATGATGACTGGGGCACAGTGAGTATGTGGTTGTTGCTGCCTCAACCATCGGTGAGCTAACCTGTTGACAATTTCCATTCCCCAGGCAGGGCAGACCAGAGCCACAGACAGACAGATAGCTGCAGTTGTCATTTATTGAGACACATCTCAGGCACAGTGGAGGGGGCTGTGGGTAGATTCAGGGACTGAGTGGGTCTGGTGAGAGACTGGGGAGCTGGAAGGGCATTTGGGGACCACTCCTGGCTTCCCTTCCTCCTCCCCTATAGCTTGTCCTAAACTCAGACTAGATGAGCAGAGGCGTGGAAAGCGAGATGGCCTGGGAAATCAAGTCTCTCAGTGGTCAAATGGTCACCCCAAATCACCCAAACACATCACTCAAACTGGTGGCCTTGACCTCCCCTCCCCTCCCATTGCAGAACCAAGGAGAAACCTGGGTGGAATTGAGCCCTTCCCCAAATGCAGATCACATGCAGAAGTCTGGCATGCAAACCCACTGATCTGTGGTCCTGGGGCTGATCCTGCTCCTAAGGAGGTGGGTGGGGAGAGCAGCAGAGGTGGGTGAGTGGGGTGGGGAGAGGACTACAGGGGCCCCAGCTTGCAAGGCTCGTCAGCTAATACCTCCGGCTGGACGTCTTGACTGTGGTGGTCTTCCGCAGGATGGAGGTGCCCCCAGAAGCAGGTCCTCCCTTGACAGTGCCATAGCCCACACTGGTGCTGTAGCCACCCTTGCTGGCACTCCCACTCCCTCCCAGAGAGATGCCACCCCCAAAGCCAGCTGCACCGCCTCCGCACACGGTGGTAGAGTTGCCAGTCACCGCTGCAAAGCAAAGGATTTGGATGTCACAGGGCAGCCATGATGAGGAAGGGCCAGGGACTTTCAGAAATCAGTGAGGGGTAGGAACAAAATCAGGCCATGAAGCCATAGGAAATGGATGGAGAGGGCGGGGCAGGAAGCTCGTTCTCTGGGGACCCCTTGAACTTGTCTCCAGGGGCTCAAATGGAGGGGATGTGTGCTTTTGGCCAAGGACAGATTGAGTGGACTGAGCAGAGGACAGGGCCAGGCCTGGGGCGGGGCAGCAAAATACTCACAGATACTGACAGCGCTGGGGCATTCTCCAGACATCCTGAGGGAAACAAAAATGCCAGGAGGAGGGTCAGCAGTTCCAGGAGCCTGAGAAAACACCCTCTCCCTCCCTCTCTGCCTTTACAGTGCTTCAGTTCAGGTGGTCAACTCTCAAGAACCAAGACCAGGAAACACGAGAAGAATGTGCACGTGGCCATGCTGGGCCCGGGGGCCTTCCACAGGTGCTAAAGCCTTGCAGCGGAGCAGAGCCGCAGCAGGCCACGCCACCTGCCCCCCCTTCCCACGCGGGCCAGGGACAGCACCCCTGCTCTGAGGGAGGGGAACAGAGCCCGGGCCAAAATGGAGCTGCCCAGTTTCTGGCTGAGGTGACTGTCTCTACATCTCATGCCTTCCCCGAGGACAGAGATGATAGATCTTTTTCAAAGCTTCCACTGGTGGTGGAAACTAGTGGTGGAAGAAGAAGCCTCCCTCCTCTTGGCCTACCAACAACCATAAGGATTACTGAGGGTTGTGCCAGCCAAGGGATGTGCAGCAGAGGCAGCAAATACAAGTGGAGAGTGTCCCTCAGGCGATGAGTTGGGAGCCCAGCTCCCTGGTTCCGCCTTTATTCCTCTGCCCCCCACCAGAGCCAACTACACGGGGCAGGGCTGGGAAGCCCTCAGAATCAGGCAGGGGGGGTCCCCACCTGCTCTCCTCGCTCTCCAGCAGCTTTCGGTAGGTGGCAATCTCCACGTCCAGGGCCAGCTTCACGTTCATGAGGGCCTGGTAGTCACGCAGCAGCCGAGCCAGGTCCTCCTTGGCCTGGAGCAGGGCCGCATCCAGGTCCCCAAGCTTCTTCTGAGCATCCTTTAATGCCAAACCCCCACGCTGCTCTGCGTCCGCGATGGCAGTCTGGAGCTGCTGGCACTGCCCAGGGGAGGAGAGGTATTGAGAACGTCCTTCAAGGTCATCGTACCCACCTCTCTGCCCTTACGCCAGGCATCACCATTCCCCACCTGATCCCACCACAACCAACTGGGAAAGAAAGAAGTTAAAAATATTCATCTGAAAGAGGAAATGTTATTACACAAGAAGGATCATGTAAGACCAGTGGGAAAGTCCTTACTGAAGTCTAATCTTAGTCCCTCTTGCTGCAGCTCAGCCTAGTGCCGCAAAAGAGAAAATAAATAATACAACCCCATCAATAACCAAATACTTCACTCTGACCTAGGAATGAGTCTGCACTTCTCAGCCACACCCTAGATGGAGTCAGCAGCTATGACCTGGACCCTGGAACTCTTAGCCTCTGCTCTGATCTCCTGGAGATGGGATCAGTCTCCTTGGAGAAGGTCATCCCACCTGCTCTACCACTAACATGCTGTGTGACCTTGGACAATCCCTTTCTTCCTCTGGGCCTCAGTGTCCTCTCTTGTAAAAGGAGCATGTTGACCCAACGTTTGAGTGTGTCCTGTCCACCAGGAGAAAAGCAGATCTCATCCCTCAGAATAACAATAAGAGGGTTCCCCCACCTCCACCAACATCTGGGTCAGTCCCTCAGGCCTCAGCCAGAGGCTTACCTGCTTCTTGGCTGCATCTACCTCACTCTGCAGCCTCTGGACAGTGCGGGTGAGTTCAGCAATCTCATTCTTGGTATCCCGCAGATTGTCCCCATGCTTCCCAGCCGTCACCTGCAGCTCCTCATACTAGAAGCCAAAGAAGTGGCAGTGAGCTGTCAGATAGTTCCAGGCCCACTCTCACAGCTGGAGGTGTCTGGCCCCAGGCCTGCAAGGAACACAGTGGCCCAGGCCTCTCCAATGGGGGAAGGTCCTGTCCCAGCTCACATACCAACCAGCCATTCTTCTCACCTGGGTCTGGTACCAGGCCTCTGCCTCAGCCCTGCTCCTCTGGGCAATCAGCTCGTACTGGGCCTTCACCTCAGCGATGATGCTGTCCAGGTCAAGTTTGCGGTTATTGTCCATGGAGAGGACGACATTGGTATCAGACACATGGGTCTGCACTTGACTCAGCTCCTGCAGAAACAGAAATAGCTGCCACCAGGCCCCCAGGAAGCAGCCAAAGGATGAAGGACAGGGGTCCAGGTAACATCAAGGGGCCTGTGTCCCTCCCCAGGTACACCCTAGAAGGAAGCTGCAACTGCAAGAAAGGCCTCGGTCTCTCCAGCTGCGAAATGGGGCTCCATTTTAATAAACAACATTTCTTTTTGTGGATTTGCAGGCTTCCAAGAGATTAAAGGAGAAAGGGAATGTATACTTACTACACTCAAGCTGGTGCCAGGCCAGGAACCAGCCCATTCACTAGTCCCTTTAATTGCAGGACACCTTCTGAGGCAGGCAGGGCCACAACTGGCCCACAGGGTGTATTTGTGCAAGTTGGGAAAAGGTTTCCCTCTGAACAAGTTCTCCCATACCAGGGCCTGGGGAGCTGAGCATGAGCCTGATTCAAACCCACTATCCACTCAGTCAGTTAACAACCTGCACCACCATTCATAGTGGTCCACACTGTAGGCAGGTAAGAAAAGAGGCTTGGAGAAGAGAAGGGACACATCCAAATTCACCAGATGCAAGGTCATCCAATCCGAGTGGGGGAACCAGTCAGTCGAGTGACAAAGCCCAAGTGGTTTCCTCTGGAATACACAGACACTTATAGACCGCAGTGATGTTCCGAGACTCGCCCTGTGTTTCTAGGACCAACAGCTTTCACACATAAGCAGGCGTTTAAAGATGACACGAAGGGCAGCTTTGGTTTCTGTTCTGGCTTTGAGAGCAGCTGTACTACTAGATCATGACTGAGTTGGCTCCCAGTTGAGCTATGCCTCTATCTCTCTTACGGTCCTCCCTGCCCCAAACTAGCTCCGATCAAATCACTCATCCACTCAGTGCTCCTGAGTGACTCCAAAGGGGAGGGGATCTTCCCCCTAAAAGTCAACACTTTCCAACATATTCTGGTCTTGTCTCCAGCTTTTCTCCTACATTGGCCCTTCACTGCAGCCAATGGGATTATAATAGATGAAGACAGAAAAATAACAGCAGCTCTCATTTTGTAAGCACTTCCTATCATTGGGCCTGTGTAAGGTACTTGGCAGGCACTAACTCATTACCTGTACTTTTCCAATAGCACAAAGATCAACTTACCCAAAATCACAACCTAGTAAATGAGCCCAGTCTCAAACCTAGGGAGTCTGCCACCAGAACTTGAGATGACATAAAGTAGAGATAGACAAAAATGAAGAGAGAACTATCCAAGTTAAAACTAGTGTCTATACTGGCATAGATTTAGATTATTAACATTATCTTTTAAAAGGTGGAATGGTTTGGGGTGGGGGGGATAGAGACAGAAATCCAAACACTGAAATATTTATGGTTTCATGAAAAGACATGAGCTCTGGAGATGGAAAAGCAAAGTCAAGTTCTCAGCCTAACATTCACTACTGTGTGACCGGGGTCATTGCTAAGCCTCATGAAGCCTCAGTCCCCTCTTCTGTAAAATGGACATGCTATAACACCTTCCTTGTGAAATTCAGACCCATACATGGCCCATGGTGGGTGCTCAGTAAAATGCATTATTTCTCTGAAGGTCAATCAAGATGCCCACCAGGCATGTCTACTACAGATGACATTGCTTTGTCACAGTTGTCTTCCTCCCCACGATGACAAGACCGCTGACATCATTTTGCAGGATCACCCCCTCACCCTCCCCACCTCAAGGACCCTCTACAGTTCCATGCCAGAGTGTGGTCTTGAGGAAAATCAACTTGGAATTTTTAAGACAAGGAGGCCGAAACTCTCTACTGGACACCACCAAGAGTGGATGAGGGTGGTCTTGTTAGAACCAGGCAACAGAAAGTTCAGATTTTCCAAAGAAACAGAACCAAGGCAGGAGAAAAAAGAGCTTTGTGGATTAAAAGGCATGTACCTCCTTAGACACCAGGGGCCCCGAAGGGAAGAGCAGGTGGAGAACATCTGAGCAAGATGAGGCCAAAGTGATGGCACTAGAGCAAGACTGTATCCCACAGGGACACCCCCAAGCCAGATGGAGACCATGAGACTCCTTTCCTGCCCTGTAGACATGCCAGGAATTGGTGGTTGGACCTCTAGACTTCCTTAAGCTATGACTTAACCAAAACCAGACTGTGAAATTCATTACCAAGTGCCACAGTGGCAATCACAGTTGATCCACCCAGGAGGCAAAAAAGGAAGGACTGCTCTGGCCTTCATTCTTACCCCCCAGGAGGTACAGATAGGCAATGAGGAACTTTGACAGGAAGTGACCCCACTTTGTCCCTGGCCCGCCTTCCCAGTCCACCTCCTCACCTTATTCTCCAACATACTCAATGCCCAGCCCACCTGCTGCTCCCCACACACACCGTGCTCTTTGGTGCCCCCGTGTCACTGCACAGTCCTGCTCCTCCTTTAGAAGTCTCACCCTTCCTTCAAAATCCAACTCAAATGTCAGCTCCTCTGAAGCTCCCCTAGCTCCCAGGAAGGGTCAGTCACAGCTTGCTCCATCCACCTTGTCCCTGTTGCTGTGATGGCTCTCATCACACGGTCCCAGGCCCGTCAAAGGCAGGGACTTTGTCCTTCTGTCATCCTGTGGAATGTTCTCAGTAAATATGTGTCAAAAGGACAAGGTATAGCAAAGGAAGGAATGCTGAGTAAACCAGACCTGTGCCTTAGAGTGTAGGAAAGCCAATTGCTACACATTCAGAGAAGATGAGGGTGAGAACCATTGACCTGAAATAGATAAGAACCTGAGAGAGGAAATGAGGAAACCCCAAACAATGAATGACCAACAATGATCCCAGTAAGGAAGAAACTAGGGAGGCACCTAAGAAGTCACTATGGTAGCACAGAACAGTCCATCCAGACTGGTCATTGCTGAGATGTTGAACAGAGAACAACACAGCCGAAGATGAACCAGGGAAATGCTAAAGCCAGTGGACAGGGGCTGTTAGCTAAGCTCCAGGCCAGAACAACAAGGAGGGCAGAAGACCCAGACAAAGCCAACAACTCAACAGCTGTGTCATTCATTCTTTTCCATCAGGGGAACAGGCATTGAACTGGAAAGGGCAGGATGCTTTAGAAGAAATGGAAACCCAAGACAGATACAGAAAGTAGGAGAGGGCTTGGCCTTTTGGAGATCTCAGGGGTCCAGGCCAGAGAAACATCTCCTAGGAGGCCATGGGGATTGCCAAGGGGATGAACACCCCGGTGATCCTGGGGAACTATGGGGAGTAGGAGAGGTCGTCATTTTCAAAATGGAGAAATTTTGACTTCTCCAAGTTAAACTTGATGTCAATCTCTCAGGAACCTCTAGTATGAATTATAAAATGTGTGTGAGAGGCTTGGAGCCAGCAATACTTCCCTAAGGAAAAGTCAAATTGAATGAATTTTTGTTCATGGTTGTATCACTAAGCTGCTAAGGACTGCCATGGACATTGTTTGACCAAGCCATTTTGGAAGGCACATTTTTTTCCTCTCTCCTTGTAAATGTTATTTCTTCTAGCATTCTTAAAAATAAGACAGAAAAATGTAGGCCAGATGATGACATGGTTAACTGGATTTTAAAGTAGCTGGGCCATTTAAACCACAAATTACTGATTAGTGCTGTGAGTTCAGCCTGTGGGGAGGCACCACTGAAGACCTAGTCCTTGGCTAGGGCTCTGTTCTCACCTTATCTGCCCTAATGTGTTTATCAGTGACTTACATCAAAATATTATCAAATAACTAAACTGAAAGTTTATCGAGTCTGCAGATAACCCAAAGCTGCTGCATCACTAATATATCCAATAATCCAATCGGGCATCTCCTATACATGGAGAGGAGAATCCAATTTCAACGTGCCCACAATGACCTACAAGGATGGGATGAAATCTCAGTAACATGTCACAAGAAAAGGGGAATCATTAGCTCTTGCATTCACTTTCAAAAATTCAACCTCCCGAATACAGGGTGTTGGAAGATAGTGGATGTCTGTCTCCCTTGAAAGCATTTATGTGAAAAAACCCAGGGGGATTTTAAGGAACAAACATGGTGAAATGGTTTTTAAAATAACACATATACTAGTACAATATTAGGGGGCATTAATAGAAGTCTGTGTCCATAGCTTCCCTCCCCACCCCTCTCTTTTCTGAATTCTGGGCTCAGAACCCTGTTTTCTAAATTTCTTCACATACCACAGTCTTCAAACCCCTCATCATCCTGACCTCTAAAAGCTTGTCATATGAAAGACATGTCACATGGAAGGTAGTTGGATATGTGCAGCCCAGAGGCAGAATCAGAGCCAATCAAGAGCAGAAGCCATGGGAAGAAGATTCAAGTCCACTTTCTAATAAAATTGTTCAACAATGGAAACACCTGGCCCCCCCAAAAAAAGTATTCAAGTAGAGTCTACATGATCCCCATCAGGGACATTAAAGAAAGAGCTTTAAAATGAGTGGAAGGTGTACCTTGAGATCCCTACCTATTCATAGAGTCTATGATTCTAGGATCAACTCACCCAAATCTTCAAAGCCCCCTTGTTTCCTGGAACCCCTCCTGGACTCTCTGACCTGCCCACTACCCACACCTCATCTCCTGCTCCAACCTGGAATCTCAGCTCTGCCCATCTCTGCTCCTCCCTCCCTTGCTCTATTACAACCCGGGCAAGAGGGGAGACACAGTATAACACAGTAGCAAGAGTCAGAGTTTGAAGTTCAAGAACCAGATTTGAACTCCAGCACCGCCTCTAACCAGCTATGTGACCATGAGCAAGTTGCTCTGTCCCTGGCTGTACAATGGAGACAACAGGACTTACGTTACGGAGTTGTTGAGAGCTTAGCCCAGTGCCTGGTCCATTTAAGCACTTAATAAATGGAAGCTAGTATTAATTAAAGGTGCAGGTTTATCTTCCATCAACTAAATTGCACCGCTGAATTCAGACCAGACCCCTGGGGGAATCCGCAATGCTGTATGTAATGATCCCCGTCCACTGGCACCTCACCATTTCATAGAGCTGATTCAGGAAGTCGAGCTCCTCTGTCAAGGTGCCCACTTTGCCATGCAGATCCATCCGGCCCATGTATGCACCATCCACATCCTGGGGGGAGGGAGAGAGCAAGGCAGGTGGCTCAGCCCCAGGGCCCTGGCCTCTCTCAGAGTTAGCCCAGCGCTCTGGCAGCCAAAGGACCATCTGCCCCCACTCCCTGTCACCCTGCCCACCTTCTTGAGCACCACGAACTCGTTCTCGGCAGCAGTACGCTTGTTGATTTCATCTTCATACCTGTTACGCAGAGAAGATTCAGGCCAGGCTCAGCCAAGATCTGCCTTTTAAGGTACTGGGCCGTCTTGGCTTTAAGGAAGCCCTGAGGGGTCCCATATTGGCCAAGAACACCTTTGGGGAGCAGTTCTATAAGGCAGCCAACCAATGAAGAAACTTGGGGTGCAGTTTTTAAATATTCTGCCCTACCTCTTTTGAGGAAATGGGCACAGAGTTTGTGTAATACCGTGTCAGTCAGGGGAAGCCATCTCTTTGAATCAGAGCCCTTAGGAGGCTTTATAGGAGCAGGTGGAGATGTGTCAACAGTGGCTATCCTTTGCCTTCACTTTCAACAACAGGATGGCATTTCAAACAACTAACTTCTCTCCAACTGCTTTTGCTCAGACTTTAAAGTTTAGAAATTGCTCATATCAAGTTGTTGGAAAAATTATGAAAAAGTATGTCTTAAAATTATAAATATACCTATCGACCAATCATAATATGTGAACCTTATTTGGATCTTGATTCAAACAAACCGTATTTTTTTTTCAAACTGTGTTTTTTTAATTTATTACATTTATGGGACAATTGGAAACCCAAAACTGACTGGTTATTGAGGAATTCGTGTTTTAAAATATTTAGGTGTGATTGTGGCATTTTTCTTATGTTTACTAAGTTAAGTTATATAGATGAACTATCTGAGCATATCCAGTAAAAATTTTGTGAATTAAATTACCTGATGGCTGGGATTTGCTTCAAGACAATAAGGGAGGAGGGAAAGTGAGTAGGGATACAGAGGAAACAAGAATGGCTATGTTGATAATTATTAAATCTGGGTAACGAGAACATGTAAGTTCCTTACACAGTTTTCCCCACCTTATAATAAAGACTTTTCAAAATGATGGACAAGTGTGACAATTCTCCAGGAGGCTATGGGTCCGGTGCCTGAGCACCCAAGGGAAGCAGCTCTGTCTGTGCCTCCCCCAGGCGGTCCCAGGACCCTGCAAATGAGATGACCCTCTCTGGGGAAGTTCCCACGATGCCCCCTCGCATCTTCACACAGCCCCAGCCTGCCCAGCCCTCCTCACTTGTTCTTGAAGTCCTCGACGAGATCCTGCATGTTCTTCAGCTCTAAGTCCAGCCTCCCGCGCTCGCCCTGGAGGTTGTCCAGCTGCCTGCGCAGGCTGCCCGTGTAGGCCTCAAACAGGGGCTCCAGGTTGTTCCTAGTGCCGCTCGAGTTCTGGCCCTGCTCCTGCAGCAGCGCCCACTTGGTCTCCAACACCTTATTCTGCTGCTCCAGGAAACGCACCTGAGCCAGAGCAAGAAGGGTGGTGGGCTGGCACCGTCTCCCTACCCCAGGAGGGACCGAGGATGGGGCTCATTGCACCATCGGCCCCATGACCAGGACATCACAGGGGCAGGACAAGCTTCCACCTTGCTGAAGGGAGGAGTTCCTAAGGGAACAATCTTTGCTGGAAAAGATAGTCCAACCTGATGACAAGGACTCTAAAGAGTTAATAAACATAAAAGCCTGAGCTCAGTCATCTTCTAGTTGGTGACAATCAAGTCACTTCTTTCTGCGTTTCCCTTTCTCATCAATATTTCTGAACCCAAATTCTACATCAAAACCAACTACTAAAAATTCAGATGCATATATATGTGTGTGTACATAATATATATGCAACTATATATATATACTTATGATTATATATACACACGCACACACAAAGAGAGAAAACTAATGTGACAAAATGTTTAAAATTGGTGAATCTGAGTGAGAGTTTATAGGAGTATGTAGTACTATTCTTGCAACTTTTCTGTAAATCTGACTCTTTTAAGGTTTTTTTAAAATACTAATGCCAAGCCCTATCTTTAAAGTCTCACAAGGGGGCTCATGGCAAGGGTTTAACAGACCCCCTGGGGGTTCTCTGCCTAGTTAGGGCTCCCAGACACCAGACACAGGCAACCTCTCAGGTCCAGCTCCAAGGCCATGATTCTGAGAGCCCAGGAGAGGTTTTTGCTTGTTTAACCTCTGGGACAGTCCCACAGAAGAACCAAAAGTCACTAGGGGAGAAGGTGAATAGGGTGGGAGGAATGGCTTGCTTCACCCTTCGCTATCCAGTCTCTCAGGTCCCACCCCCACAGCACCCCAGGCCCACAGGCATGTGGCCCAGGTGCACCATGCAGCAGGTGCACCTGCTATGAGCCGTAATGAACCCTCTTAGTGCCAATAGCCATGAGGTCCGTGACCCTAGGTCCAAGCCGACCTCTGCCTCCAAGTACCTGTATGATCCTGGGAAAATCACATGACCTCTCTAAACCTCAGTTTTCTCCTTAAAAATGGGGGCAGAGCCTTGTGGGGAGTGGCTCAGCAGTTGAGCATAAACCTAAGATCCAGGAGATTGCAGTTCAATTCTCGGTCAGTGCACATGCCCAGGTTGCAGGCTCAATCTGGGCGTGCAGGAGGCAGCCAATCAATGACTCTCTCATCATTGATGTTTCTATCTCTCTCTCCCTCTCCCTTCCTCTCTCTGAAATCAGTAAAGATTTTTTTTTTTAATGGGCACAGTGTTACTTATTGTGATCCCTCATGGGACACTATGGGTATCACATGAGAAAGGAGACATGAATGTCCTTTGGGAACCCACAAATCACTGAACCAAGGTACAGTCATCCACCAGAATGTTCCCCATCATGATCCTGGAGGCTTAGGGTGGAGACAGACAAGGCCAGCAAAATGGACCTGGAAATGCCAGAGAATAGGACAAGAGCTTCCCAAGTCCACCTGGATGCCTGGGAGGGAATCAGGATGCTCCCCTCCTGGGACAGGTCAAACTCCATGCCCCAGGTCATGGTGACCTGTGACCATCCTCCCCATTGTCCACCCCAAACTGAGCTTCGTGACTGGAACAGCAAGAAGGAATAGGAGGAGCAAACGAGGACTTCCCCTAGGACACGCCCCATTGTGTCTGATCACCTCTTTGTCCTGAGGCCTCCACCAAGACCGAGAGGTTCCTTGGGGAATTTAGCACTTGAGCCAATTTCTCAGTTGTCAAATGGCAAAAGGCAATAAAGGCCACCCTGTCAAGAGGAGCAATGAGAATAACCCACTATGTAATCATGAGCTAAGGCTGCTGTGTATTAATTAGTATTAACAATGACCACAGGGAAGGTCGCAGCACAGTCAAGGTGGGCTTGGCCAATAGGCCTCATGAGTAGACCTGAGATTCACCTGAGCAATTGCAGTAAAGACCTGAAGATTGTCTCCAGGCATCTACATCTGGGCATCCCAGGGTCAGGCCAGTAGAGCTCCAAAAGTCATTCCATCAGCTCCATCCAAGTGCACAGGCTCTGCAACAACCTCCACTCAGCCCACCCCCTCTTAGAGGCCCTGCTTCTGCTCCCTCCCTGCCCCCTTCCACCTCGGCCCACCTTGTCGATGAAGGAAGCAAACTTGTTGTTGAGGGTCTTGATCTGCTCCCGCTCCTGGGTGCGCACCCGCTGGATCTCTGGGTCAATCTCCACATTGAGGGGGGTCAGCAGGCTCTGGTTGACAGTGACCTCCTGGATGCCACCAGGAGGACAGACAGGCCCAAATGTCTGCCTGTCAGCCCCCAGGCCCATGTAGGCCCCACTGCCATGACTGAAGCCTCCTAGGGCCCTCCCTGAGGAGGTCCCTCCAGCCACACTGACAGAGATGCTCTTGTTGCCCCCCAAGTTATAGAGGCTCCGGCTGCCAAAGCCACCCATACTAGGGCCACAGCGGGCCCTCCCGCCACTGCCACTGCTCCGGGATATCGTGACAGAGCTGAAGCTGGTGTGGGCCCTGGAGCCACCCCCTCCACTGGCAGAGTTGGAGCTGAAGCCCCCTTTGGTGGAGTATGTCCGCCGAGCCACAGAGGATCGCATGGCTGTCAGAGGAGCTAGAGCACAGGCTGAGAGAGCTGGGAGGGAGCAAGGTGCGCTGCTGGGCTCTGATGGGCTTTTTATCTTTTCCCAACTGGGCTGGCTCCTCACCTCCACAGACACTCCTGTCCCATCGCCCCAGGAGGAGAGGGAGGGGCCCTGTGGGCTGGGGGGTGTGGACAGTCCCTTCTCCCCCAGCAGGAGGGAGGGGCTGCTCTCAGTTATCACCTGTGCTCCAGAGCTGAGGCTGAGCCAAGACTGTCTGGGGCAGGATGCCACCCTCTCCCCCCTGGGGCTCCCCTACCTTGAAACAGGATGCTACGGGCTCCCACAGCTATGGGCTCCACCAAGCAGTGGCTGCTTTGGTCTCCTCCCACCCAGCCCTGGTTGCCACTATCAATGGGGCTCTGTTCTGTGGGGTTTGTCCCAGGCCCCTATTGTAAGCCAAGGCCCCGGGGCCCTGGCTGTGCAGGTGGAGAGGGAGACAGCATTGGGCAATGGGCTGTGGAGAGAGTGCCCAAGCCTGATGCAGTCCCACCTCCCAACCCACGGCCTCATTGCCCCCTGGCAGGTCTGGGTTGGGGGGCACAGGTGACAGAGTTGGGGTGGGGCAATCTGTCTTTGTCATACACTGGCAGACTCTCTGCTGGGTGTAGATTCCATGCTGGGCAAAGTGGATGTGAGGACAGAAAGAAGGTTCCTGCCCATCCACGGGGCCTGAGCACTGGAGGAAATAGAAAGGCCCAGGCTCCTCAGGCAGTGCCCAGAGCCGGGAAGATGAGGGGACAAACCACACTCCTCTGGGAGCTGCAGAGAAACGGGCTTCGACCATCACCTGAGACCCTGACCCTCTGCCTCACAGCAGAGCCTCCCCAGAAGGGCCCAGCCACTTTGGAGGGAGCTGAGGAGGTGGAGGACATATCCCAGCCTGGCTGGACACAGGTACAGATCCAAGAAGTATGTATTCAACAAAAGCCCCACTTGGCCCATGGAGCACCCTAACACTCCCATCTTCCCAGTTTATACAGAGCCCCATGCTTGATTCAGAAGGAGCCAGGGAGGTCCTCAAATCACTTCACACAGGCCCCATCCACCTCAGGCTACTGGGACCAACAGCCACAAGGGAAGACTTAGAAACGTTAGTCAAATGCTAGGACAGAGGGAGTGCTGAGGGATTGTCCCTCCTCACCCACTTCAGCTTTCAGGGGGAAAATGGGCCCAGAAAGGAGACAGACTTGCCTGAGGGAAGGGGGGAGATGGCACTGCTCCTCACACAGCTGCCAGGGCTAAAGGTGGGACTCTCACCAGCTTGTGTTCCCAGGATCCCAAAGGAGAGTGCATGGGACCACCCCCACAGCTCAAGGGAGGCAGGCATAGAGCTGGCCCGAGGAGGGTGTAAGCAGCTCCCTTTCAAGAAATTGAACATACTCCCAGGAGGCAAAGGGCAGGGGACTCTCACAGAACTAGTCCTTTAATTTTCCTCCCTGCTTGGAGCTAAGATACCAGGCATTGAGGAGGGGTGTGGGGGAGGGGGAGATGAATCCCCACTGAGCTGTGTGTCCTCTGGCAGCTCTCAGTCTCTCTGGGTCTCCTTGCCTCTGCTTGTAAACAGGGCCTGCCAGGGAGGTCCTTTCAAAAGCACCTGCCTGTAATTGCAAGACTGAGCTGTCACTGCCCTAACCTTTGTCTCTTGCCCTGGAGGCTGTTATCACTTTCTCAGCCTCCCTTATCTCTCCCTAATGGGAGTGTGGGAGGGAAAGACAGTTGTGAGTGGGGCCCTCTCCCTGGGGACATGAGTGATGTCAGCCCTTTGAGTCAGGAGCAGCCCAGGTGGTGGGAGCAGAGTGGGCCGCAAATATATTCCATCCTCCCCAGAGACTGACAACCACACATATTTACCTGGTGCTCTGTGCCAGGCTTCACCCTAGGAGCTGATGACAGGTGTGCAGACAACCCAGGTCCCACTCTCACAGTCACTTCCTAGAGACAGCTCCTTCCTGCCCAGGCAGGACATCTCAGCAGTCCCAGCCCAGAGAGTGTGGGAGCTGCTGGGCCTCCTCCTGTCCTGCCTCTCCTCTTGGCTTTCATACAGGACACCTAAACTCAGACCTCCTTTCTGTAGCCCAAGAAGGAACAGTTTCCTCCCCCTGCTGCTGCTCAGTCCAAGAGCCTCCTTCTCTGAAGACTGTCACCTGTTCAGGGTCACTCCCCATGAGAGGACAAGAGGTGATGGAATGATGGATGAAGCAAGACAACTGAGCACCCAACATTGGTCAGGCAATAGAAAAGATACAGGGGTGAAGAAAACACAGTCACTGCCCTTGAGAAGCCCCCATACAGGGGTGGGACTTCCTATAATTATACAGTCAGTAATTATTGAGCACTTACTATAGGGCAGACAGGAGCCTATACACTTTCCATGCAATAACACCTGTAGTCTCCATTCTGAATAAGCTCCCTTTGCCTCCTTCCCACCCTAGATCCACTCACGAACCTCCCTGACCCTGGAAGGCTGCTCCTTTGTCCCTGGCTTCCAGCTGGGTTGCCCAAAGGCAGACCCCATCAAGAGATCTGGGAGAGAGAGGGCCAGCATTTCTCCCTGCTCCCTGCTTCAGCGGAGGATGCCTCCTCCTCCCAGGTGATCCCTCCACAGTTCCCCACCTCTATCACCTAGTCACTCCACTTCCTCCTGTGTCTCCAGCTCTACACAGGGTGTCCACTTGGTCCTGATTTTCCCAGGACCATCCTGGTTTAGCACTGAAAGTCTCACATCCCAGAAAACCCTTTGGCCTGGGCAAACCAGAGGGTAGCCTCCTTAGCTCCGGTGTGGCAATGGCTTCCCAGTGCTCCAGCCTCTGGCCTCTGCATCCTATGTTTGTTTCCTTAGCCACACCCACACCTCTGTAAGTAATCCTTGCATCAAAGTCCATTTAACTGCACTATTTGGGGTAAATTTGTTTCCTTTTGGGATCCTGAATGGTACCATCCCACACGGCCTTGTTAGTATTACTATTAATGTATTTTCACAGATGAACTGAAGCATAGAGAGAGGTTAAGTAACTTGGTCAAAGTCACACCACTGGTAAATGGCAGAGCTGGGACTCCAACTCAAGAATTCTAGCTCCAGAGCCTTATGCTCACCCACTCAGATCTCCCTCACAGAAGGCTAGCAAGCCTCCTTCTTGGATACTTTTGATGGAGAGACCCATGGATCTAAGGAAAAGGCTGCCCTCCCCCTGCAGCAGGGAGAAATGATGTGATCTCCTGCAGCCCAGGCCATGAAGTCTGGAGCTGACCCGAGCGGAGAGGGAGAAGATGGGAGGAGCAGTGCAAGAGCCAACACAACTGCTGGGGTAGCACCTGGCCCTGATGCCCAGTCTCCTGGCTTCCTGCAAAAGAGGGAAGGAGGAGAAACTTCCAGTCTCATGTTCAGATGGGCTCATGGGCAGGATAAAGCCAAGGAGCAAGGGAGATGGGGCATAGTTCCAGTCCCCATTGTCCCCATCAGAGCCCCTGGCACAAGCTGAGCTGCTGATCTCTGTCCTGCATACAGGAGAAGAACCTGCCCAGCGGTCCTAGGCTAAGAGAGAAGCTGCATCCTAGACCAGAACAGACAGAAACAGAGCCCAGGACAGCAACAGGTGCAGCCAGGCTGTGCTGGGAACAGAAAGAGTCTAGTGGGTTCAGGCACAGGGAGCAGGAAAATCTGGTTCAGACTTGAGAAGAAGGCGGAGCAAGGATGAAAGGGGCTGTTCTGAGTCGGAAATAGAGCCTATTTGGGGGGATTAACCAGGGAACAAGCTACAAGAGATGCTAAAACATCAGTGGAATGGAGGTGAGGGAGGGCACCCCCAGGTAGTATACTGGGGGGCTAGAAGGAAACCCCTAATAAACTGATTGGAGTGAGAAGTGAGATGCCCATAAGATATAACCCAAACAACCCTAAATATTTCACAAATTGCCTTCTGTGGAGAGTTGACTGGACAATGGCACACCTTTTTTGCTGGGTGAGGTGTGCAAGCCTGAGTGCCGAGCTGAATTGCTGGAAGGAAACACAAAGATGCTGCATATTGCCACAGGGAAACTTTGATGCCCTTCAGCCCCTTCTCAAAATGTCCTTGGAACACATATTGAAAGCTATTATTGCTCAGCATCAGTTCTGAATTATTAACCTGACTGGAGCACCCTGTCCAGGAGAAGGGCCAGATTAAAGCTAAGAGATGAAAGGTGGGGGTGAGGTGATAAGACCCAGCCTTGCCACCTTAGATAGAGCTAAAGCAAGGGCATCAGGACGAGGGGACTAGAAGAAAAGACAAGACATAAAAGGTCCTCACCACAATTCCCCATCTCTCAACCCAGGGTGTCTGAATTAGCCATAGAAGTCTGGCCTCTGGCCCTGGAGGCCAAGGGCTCTAAGAAGGAATGTCTGGTTCTCATGGCTGAGAGGGGTTATGCTAGAGACACCAGAAGCAGAGACATTAAACCCATTGGGAGGGCAGGATGGGTTTGGTCTTGCTTGTCAGAGTAGCCCCAGTCCAGGAACAGTACCTCAAGTATGGTTTGCACCCAATACAATTTGTAGGAAGGAGGTGGTAGGGAAAGAGAGGAAAGAAGACATTCCTACGGAGAATTGGGGGCTGCTTCATTTCACAGGAGAGCTAGAGAAATGGAGGCTCAGGGGCAGATGAATAAGACAAGAGCTGGTGCCCCTTGGTGCTAGCCTCCACGGTCTGGTCAGCAGGACTCAGACCTCTCCCTTCTCCCCAAAGGGCAATATTTGGGATGCGATGTAGTCAAGCCCAACCCAGAGTTTTCCCAGCTCAGCCTGTAGGCCATGGGGAGAGAAGAGTATGAGGCTAGCTAGCGGGAGGATGGGGCACTGTGCACCTTGGCTTGGGGCAGGCAGCAGGCAAATTAGACAAATCACTAGACAAGGCCAGACTGGGTGAGCCCTCAGAACAGCAGGCAGGCATGGCTTTATTGATTTTTGCAGCATCCCCTGTGGGCAATGGACACACAACTGGTCATGCAGGGATGGGGATGATGGGGGGGGAGGAAGGGCTGAGAACATTCAGGAAGGCAGGGGAGCAAGTGGCTGCCACAGCATTCAGTATGTGATGGACGTCTTGAGACTTGATTCGACAGTCTTCTTCAGGATGGTGCGGCAGCTGGAGCCAGGGCCAGAGCCGGACACAGAGCAGGAACCCATCACAGGGCCCTGGCCAGAGCCCAGGATGATGTTGGAGCCTCCAATCACGACGCTGGAGCAGCTGGACTCAAAAGCACCTTTCCCACCTCCGAGTCCACACGTACTATTACACACTCCTCCAGACAGGATGGCGCTGCCTCCCCCCATGGCTGCAAAAAAATGCACCAGTGTCACAGCAAGGTCCTCAGCTCCACATGGGGACCCCTCCCCCGGTCCCCTGATACTCACAGATAGTGACCTGGCTGGTGCATTCCCCAGACATCCTGGAGGAGAAAGAACAAGAGGAGGAACTGCTGAGAAAGAAGCAAGAATGCGTCCCGGGGGCCTCTTGGAGCAGCTCACCTACCCTCTCAGCAGATATAAAACCCCTCCCAGCAGAATGGGTTGCCCTCAGTGGCTTAGAATGTGAGGAAATCTCTCAGGATGCCCTCAGCAAGGAAGCTCTGCGTTGGCACTCCATTCTCCACCACCATCCTTGCCCCCCAGGCACAAATCCCCAGCCCTCTGACTGGCCCCACCTGTACTCCTCGCCCTCCAGCAGCCTGTGGTAGGTGGCGATCTCCACGTCCAGGGCCAGCTTTGTGCTCAGCAGCTCCTGGTACTGTCGCAACAGCCGGGCCATTTCCTGCTTGGCGGTTCTCAGAGCGGCCTCCAGCTCGGCCAGCTTGGTCTGAGCATCCTTAAGAGCCAGCTCCCCACGCTGCTCAGCATCTGCGATGCTGGCCTCCAGGTTGGCATTCTGGCAGGGGTGTAGAAATGAGGGAGAACGTGGCTGTAAGCACAACACAGCCTCCCAGAGCACCTACTGTGGATAAAACTTGAAGTCTGGGGTGCACTATAATCGCATGAGCTCAAAATTCTCCCTCCCAGGGGCTCTCATTCTAAGGGAAAGTATTGCCTCTTCTGCTTCCTTAACTCCCGTAATGTTTTGAATGATGTCCCAAAAATGTCATGTCCACCTAGAACTTTCCAATGTGCTCTTAGTTGGAAATAAGGCTTTATATATATATATATATATATATATAT